GCGTAATTTATAGTATCTGCCCCACTTATTTTTACACATAAATGAATGAAAATTTAAATGCACTGTAAAATTAAAAAAAGGAGAAAAACAGGTGTGGAAGGGGGAGGGGATAGAGGGAGATGCGGGGCAGGTAATAGGATGAAAAAGAATGAAGCAAAGAGAAAATGCAAAAGAGAGGGGAGGGGAAAGGGGAAAAAGAGGAGTTAGTTTGATTTCGGATCCATTGAAGAGCATGATAGTTCGGCAACGCCCAATGTATTAATAGTAGTCACTAGTAGTAGTAGTGGTAATAGTTGGTGATAGCAGTAGTAGCAGACTTATTCTCAAGAATTTGTTAAGCTTTTGATGATATCAAAAGAAGAGATTAAAAAAGTAGAGAAGGATAATAAATTTTGGTGGTATGAGGGAGAGAGAGATAGAGGGAGAGGTAAGGATGATTAATTTCAAAGGGTTTACTCCATCTGGCTTTGCTAATTAGCTTAATGAGCTTATTATTAATAAGTGACAGAACAGGTCAAAGTTAAGTAATAAATATATACAACTGAAATATATATATATTTATATACATTCTTTCATAGGTAAACTGTACAATGCTAATATGCCGGTATCTATTCCATTTATGCATTATTTCATCTGCAATATTATCCTAATATATACTTATCATAAATCAACGGTATACGGTATAAATATGATAATGAATGATACAACAATGATAGTACAGAAACGTTTCCCGCAAGCAATTATCATTGGTGTTAAAAAAGCTGGTACACGAGCACTATTGGAATTTCTTCGTCTTAACCCAGCAATTAAAGCACCTGGACCAGAAGTACATTTTTTTGATAAAAATTTCGACAAAGGCTTCGATTGGTATCGGTTTGTTTTTTTTTAGTTTCATTTCATCTTTCTTTTGTTTGTTCATTTCTTTACCACTTCAATACTCTAATAGTAATATATAAGTTAGCTATAATTGATGAATGATTAATAAAAAAATATTATTAAGTACCCCCGTTATGGTAGCTCATGTGTGGTAATTGACAAATCGCACCTGCTGGTGGTAGGTGGTTGTGGTGGTCCAAATTGTATTTATAATGATGCTTGGCTCCTTACGTTCGACTTGACGCTGCAAAA